TCTCCCTGTCTTCGGTGAAGATTTAGGAAATCTCTTTGTCTTCCTTTTGAAGTAAAGCTCCCTCCTACTTTTTGTTGAGGTCTTAAGCCATAGCATAAGTATCGCTTTGAGCAGTTGCTTTGTTGTGGATGATTGTTCACTGTGAAGATGCATTTTTCAGGTTGTGTTGCATTCGCACTGCTAGCTGCATGGTTCATGACACGGCCGGATACTGACATCCGTTTCCAGGAGAAGGTTGTATTCTCCTTCTTTTTTGCGGGAGCGATCATTTGCCTTGGAATGTCGTTCGCCTTCCATACAGTTAGCTGTCATTCCGTCGCTGTCGTCCGTATATTTTGCAAGTTAGTTTAACGCATTTAAATTGATATCATTTGATGAACTTCTTTTGCTTCACGTCAGGGGCCTTTGAACTGCAGATTAGATTATATGGGTATATCGCTGCTAATTATTGGCTCATTTGTTCCTTGGATATATTACGGTTTTTACTGTCGACGCGAGCCGAAAATAACTTATATTGCTATGGTGTGCGTTTTGGGATTGGGTGCCGTGATTGTTTCTCTTTGGGATAAATTCAGCGAGTCGCGGTATCGTCCTTTGCGAGCAGGTGTTTTCTTATCGATGGGATGCAGCGGTAATTTTAACTTTCTTCAAGAGGAATCGAAAACCATTTACATGCTTTCACTCAAGGGGTAGCTTTTCCCGTGTGTGTTTGCGCGTGCGTGTGGATATGCGTGTATGCGGTGTGTGTGTGTGTGTGTGTGCGTGTGTGTGCTGCACTGCGATGCGATGTCATCGCGTCATTCTGGCGATCAGAGCAGATATCCCGGCAGGCTGTTTGCAGCCACTGCGCGCTACATTTGCCGTTCCAGTAAACAGATAAATCCGGTATTTCCAGCTCTTGTGTTCTCATTAAAGCGTGCACTGTTATCGTTCAGGAGTGGTGCCAACAGTTCATTTCATGATCACGGATGGGGTGCGCACACTTTTTGAAGAGGCGGCTTTTCATTGGCTCTTACTGATGGCTCTACTGTATATCGTCGGAACACTGTTCTATGCTACACGCGTTCCAGAGCGTTTTTTCCCAGGAAAATGCGATATTCTGGTATGTTTTGGATATCTCAGCATTTCATCGTAGAATTTTTTAGCATAGATTGTCTAGAAATTTGCTATGCAAAATGTCGTGTATCATTTTTGCTGGCAGTTCTCCTCAAACAAAAGCTGATCAGTTCGTCATGTGCAGATAGCACATGCACATGTTGAGTGAGCAGTTGTTGTTGCATTTACGTACTGACCATCAGTTGCTGTTGCTTTTCAGTTCCAGTCGCACCAGCTTTTCCATATATGTGTTGTTGTTGCGGCATTTGTTCATTACTACGGTATTTCTGAAATGGCGATGCATCGAATCAGGGCCTCTTGCCCAATGGATAGCGATGCTGTGCGAGCGTTTCACCATATCGTGGAAGGCGTGAAGAAAGCTGTACACGACGCTCTCTAGATGGATACACTAACATTAGGGATTATAAATCACCTCTCAGTCATTAGCATATTTTTACATTGTGATAAATTTCTGGCATTTTGCCTGGACTGAAAAAGGAGGTGTGTATGTGTGTGGTTCGAAAAGGTATTTAGAATTTTGTACTGTTGGCCGATCCATACTTTTTTATTTTCACTAGCACAGGGACATTTTCAGTACTCTGTTTTGAAAGTCTTCAAATCAGGATAGATTTTTCATAAAAATTTTTTCATTCTGTAATGGTATTTGCCATTTTATGAGATTACAGGTCCGTTCATGTTGTACTTGCCTCGAATTTTCATGGCTTTGCTGATACCGTTTTTTGACGTTCTTTCGTATCAGGTCGCGGAGCATCAAGCCCAAAGCGTTGGACGGGGTATCAGAAAATACTGCATCATAATTTTAGCAGCAGTGATGCACCGCTTGATTTTGTTAGGGATACGAGGGAATCCCACCTTCGTGTAGCCCTCTGACAGATGATTGTATGCTCATGCCTGTGAAATTATTATTGATAATAATTCTCAGCTGTTGCTTTCGTTGAAACGCTGCTACTGAAATGATAAATTTTATCACATCTCTGTGAATTTTCTTTACATATGCGCTTGCAGATGCCGTATTACATTGTGTCTTATTTGAAGCATAGACGACGAAGACAGGCTGAAGTGCTCTTCTGAAGATTTAATTTCCATTTGCTCACAGCATTTTCATCATTTGCAGAAAAACCAAATGGAAAGCAAAGGGGAAGTCTCATCAACCGGACAGGTAAGCCGTGTGGATGTAAAATTTGCTTACTTGACGAGCGAGAGATATGGGTCCGTCTTTGTTCCTCCGTCTGCAGCTCTTCCAAAACGCTGTCAAAATCCAGATCTGACGCTCTATTACAAGGCTGGCGACATTGTTCATTTTACGGCAGTACCTCAACAGGGCAAAAATAATTGCAAGTGGTTAGCTACAAAAGTAAGCGTTTTGTTATCTTCGATTTCCTTTCAGTTCAATTTCTTTCGGATGTCATAAAAGTGCCAAATGAAAGCTTCAAATTGAGTGCAGCGAGGTTTAGCTTAGACGGAATTTTGCTGTAGTTAGATAGAGCAGCCGTCGTTCCGTCGTGTGTTTACTCATTGAGCTCATTAATTTTTATGCGTTTTTTGCAGCAATGCAATGCAAAAAACGCATATTGACGAGAGGTTGTCTGTGTGTTTTTATGCGTTTTTTGCAGCAATGCAATGCGAAAAACGCATATTGACGAGAGGTTGTCTGTGTGTGTATGTGTCTGTGTGTGCGTATGCGTTTTTTAGATGCAATGCGAAAAACGCATATTGACGAGAGGTTGTCTGTGTGTGTGTTTGAAGCAAGCTGAATAGGGAGGGGAGTTTGACTTTTTGCCTATATTTTGTCACTAGTACTGGTTTTTACCGTTTTTTGCAGCAATGCAATGCGAAAAACGCATATTGACGAGAGGTTGTCTGTGTGTGTGTC